CGCCTATTCTTAATTTGCATAATTTATGATCTGAGCGAATACATGTGACAGGAAACAAGGGAAGGCAGGATAGATTTAATTTAAACTTAAATATTAGTAAAATTTACAAATAATTGTCACCAACTCATGCATTCGATTATTAACAGATAAAAGTTGTCGAATCATTACGTTTTGGTTACCGAATTTAAATACGTCGTGTCTGCATTGCTTTATATATATACATTTCATTTAAATGCATTCTAGTAAATTTATATTAGAAGATAATATAATCAATATTTCTTTAGTAAATAATTATATATATATGTGATGTACCAGCTTTTGTCCGGAAATAATAGACTGGTGAAGAATCATAGATGTAGTCGTAGCTCAAATTATCAGACGATAAGTTTAAAAAACAGGATCCATTTATTATTATTCAGGAGAAATAGCAGTTACAAAATCAGATATCCGGAGTAAACAAAAAAGAACTACTAATAACTTTTTGTATGAAGTTTACTGCACCGTTACATTAAAGAAAAGACCCCGATATTCCTTTGCGAGTCCTTTTATAGCCTTTGGAAAGGCAAAGCGTCCAAGAAATGACGTCAGCCTCGTTAGCCATTCCAGTTCGCTTTAAATATCTCCAGAACATTCTATAACTGTACGTGTAGAAAAGGCGGGAAAAACAACTTGACTACGGGGCTGTTGATTTAATTCCACGTACTTTCAAATAAGAGACCGTCGCTATTAAAAATGAAAAGAACATACAGTTAGAATTTTAAGTGTATTTTTGAGTGTATTATATATATTATCTGTGATTTCGCTTTTGGATCGCGAATACAGGGATATTACCATACTAGTATGACCCTACAACATAAATGTGAAATCCTGAGCAATTATCTTGCTTAAAGACGTGCTGAAAATTTAAGAAAACCACCGTATTCATTCAAACATAAAACTGAATTCAATTTTGTACATCAAAAGGAATCCAAATGCCGAGAAAAGAAAGATGCAGAAAAAGTAGTTCAGTAGACTCAATTATAAGAGATTTACTGCAAAAGAATACTCAGTTTAAAAGCATCCAAACATAAGAACCTTGGATCGAAAGCATAAAAAGCATGTTTTCAAGATTTACTTTAAAAAACACACTGAATCCGATTTGTTGAATTCTAGACTCTTACAGTGGTCTGCATATAAAAAGGAATAAACCACGTGCTGTAACTGCCAAAACGAATAGTGCTATATAAGCACCCAGCATTTACTGGTTGGAAAAGTGGCCGAATGCAAGAAATTCCACCGAGATTATTTCAAACACGAGCTGCACGTGATACGCTTTCAACAACAAAATAATGTGAGTTCTTTTATATGATTCTTACTAGGAAGTTCACATTTATCTTCTTCCCCTTCCTTCTCTTTAAAGTATAAGGAAAGATGTCTAGGTCATAACACTATATCATCAGTCTTCTCAAGACTCTTATTTTGTTTTCTTTGGTGGACTACTAAAATCCTAATTTATAATGCAGAAAGCAGTTTGGAAGATTAAATGTGCAAGAAAGTGTTCTAGAAAGATTTAATATAGGGAGCAGTAATAGTAATAACTTACATTTAGTTAAATCGATAAAAGTTATATGTTTCAACCCAGCTTGGAAACATGTGAATTGTAAATATTAATTAAAAAAATTCATGACTTCGGATTGTTTAAAAAAGTATAAATAAAAGTAATTTAAATATTATCAAACCTTTCAATAATTTAATAAAAATGCATGTTTTGAATGTCTAAAACTAATAAAATTCAGTTAGATATTTGTTATTAGAAAGAGTATAAGCGTATGTCGATGACGGGATGCAATTTAAAGAAATGAGAAGAATGCAGAATCAAATTTAAAATTAGACAAAACAAGCAAATTTTTAAAAATTTATCGCAATCTGCATTTCCCCCGGTTTAACTCCATTGTTTACAGTTTTTTCGCATTATCAAACAGCATCCGTATATTTTCTATTTAAAAGCTTTCAGAGTTAATTTAAAAAATGAATATAATTACAATTCTTTTAATTATACATGTTATATTTTATCGTTCTGTATGTTGATTAATATGAAGCAATTTGCACTCAAGAGTGGTCAGATTCGAGAATCGAATAAAACAAACATGTTTGTACTTGTGTCTTCGAGAAAAGTGAGGATATATAAAAATTGTTGGTATAAATTCCTTTAACGATGTGTGATGCTGACAATAATGAAATCCAGATTCCATTCCTCGAAGTATTCCTGATCAAAACTGCAGTGGGGTAGGCAAAGTTTCGATATCATTGCTGGTGCTCAAATTCGACATCATATGCAAAAACAATTGATTTCTTCGGGGCTAGAAAATAAGAGAAATTATATGTGCAATCGCCGAGATTCGAACCTTAGATTTTCCAGTTGCTAGTTAGAATGTGCTTTTACTCCACAAAAGCAAGCATAGGGTAATGCGATAATCTCTTGCCTGTCATGATCAATGCTTATTCATGTGGGTAATATTGAGGAAAGAGATAGGCAATAGCGATATCTAATAAATTTTTGTTCTTCAAAGCAAAATTAAAAGTGAAAGAGCTACAGACAAGAAATACAGCTACAGTCAAAACCGAAAACAAAAGTGTATACGCATTCATACTTTTTACAAATTTACAATAATAATATGCCAAGAAAGTAAGCATTGCCTTCTCAGACGCAATTGAAATGTACAAACTTAAATTAAGAATTTCCAGTCTTCATCCAACAATCTAAGATATACCCCTTTTTTTAAATCCATATGCTTCTCGTGTTACCGGACAGTGAAAATAATTGCTATGAATGTCCCAGCAATGCAATAAATTCTACCGTCATCACGAATTTTTTACAGAGTATAAAGATAACAAAAACGCTTCACAACAACGTCGTTCCTGCAAGCCATCTCAGCAAAAGTTACACTTTTAGTTTACTTTATTAAATTTATGGCACGCTAGTGAAAACAGATTGATAACGATACGCTTTCAACAGCTGGTCATAGAGACGCTAATATCACAAATGCCAGTACTGCATAATTCTAACTCATCTTTGTCATCACGCGCAGAGCCGAAATATTGAATTTAATTGACAGTAATCATTCCATGCGGGTTTTGAAATATCTAAAACAGCCGTCGCTAGTAATTTCTAAGCTGAAATTCAACCAGTTTTTTTCACATTATAATCCACAAAAATTGAAACAATGGTATACTCTTTAATTACCTTTCATTGTCATTTACATATGCAATGTAATATGCACTACTAACTTTAAACTCATCGTATTTATAACCACATGAAAAATTGCGATGATATCTACTGATTCAGCTGTTTGTTCCGCCCAGACGGGAAAGAAGTTAGTGACCCTAACTGCCGTATCGAAGGGCTAGGATTCGAAGAAGACATGGATGTAATTTGTCCGTTCCTTCATAGGAAGCAACAGTAACCACCACTTCCGACTTTAGTAGTGGCCCATGTCTATGAACGGCTAGAGCCTGCAAAAATCCTTAAGTTCGACTCGTAAATTATTCTTTTTCATCAATAAAATTATTGGTCCATTGTTTAAAGATAATATATTTTTAGAGTTAGTTTTTATTAACACCGCTTCCAGTGTGGTCTATCAAAAATGGTTCAAAATCAAACCCCTAGATTGACATTAGTTTTGCTGAAATAATTCTATCCTCTCTGACAGAATATAACACAGATCTCTTTTCTTCAATGGGTTTTGGTTTGGTTTGGTTTATTAGATTACGGCAAAGCACTCGAGGGCTATCTGCCTTAAGGGAGAGATGCCTTCGTGGAGGACTTTTTTAAGGAAACTGGCTCGTATACACGTTACACATGGTTTCTTCAATGGGAAAGAAATTCAAGAAGAGGAAACTGTGACTTTACTGTAACTAGGCATTTGCGTAATATTCCTTCGAATTACATAGAAATGTTCTATAATGTTAGTGTTGAATTCTAAAAAGTCATTTTAAAGTTGGCATGCTTTCCATATATTTACCATTATACATTAAAAATAATTCTGAGTTCTTGCATTAAGGATATTTTATTCGAGAAAAGTATAAATCACGAGACATTACAAGAGCATGCAGCTGGAAATATGATAATTCCTTATAAACTTTTAGCATAAAATTAAAAGTCATCATTTCTCGGACATTTAATTTTCCTTTCTCAGTTTCCCTCCCTCGTGATATATGTTGTTGTCATGCCCAGTTAACAATGGATAGATTCGTTGTTTGAATCCTAGCGAGAACATAATATTACAATCAGTGTGTTACATTTCCTTGTATTATCATAATTGTACTTCAAGTTTAGGTAATGACTCTGCTTCCAGGTTTCACTATCTGATAACAGTTACGCATCTCATTTCAAGTATTTGTTTTTTGCTCTCACTAGAAAGCGCTATATATTTATAAAATTTAAATCTCCCCATAGATTTTTTTTCCAGAAAGACAAAACATCCTTTTGTTCATTGAAAAGCAGTTAGCTTCTTTTCTTTGAAATTATTTATAATTAAGTTTTTGTCAATAATTAATTGTGAAATTTAAACTTGACGTGGCATTAATTATAACTATAAGAACTATTTATTAATAAAATTAGGATTAAATTTAACCTCAATATGATATTGATGATAATATAAATATAATTAAATGTGGAATGGTTCATCTGACTTCCATTCTGTAAACGTACACCTCTGAACAATTATTTTAAGCCAGAATTCCAAGCTTTCCATTTCATAAACTTCAAGGCATCAATTATTATCATTCGACAAGTGTATTCGGAAAATTTAAAATGATGGTTTGCCCAAATTTCTTAGATATGTAAGTGAAAAGATGCTATACTTGCCAGCATATTGAATAATTAAATAAATAGGCTTCGTTGTTCTTCAAAAACTTTTGGATCCTTTGATTCTACATAAAGAATTAATTTTACAAAATTAACAACAGAAAAACGCACAGTATCCATCTTGTTTTCCCTATTGAAGCAAAATGGTACTTACCTGGTAAGATGTTTGATTCGAACGCTTGGCTGAGTTGACGGACTTGCCCCCAACTCTTTGAAGCTCTCCATAGTATCCGACATCGAACACAAACCTCCCTGTAAAAAGAAAATTACAGCTTAATTAAATTTAGAGGTACCTGAAATAATATTTCAATTTCGAAATGCAAGCTAAGAATTAAGATGCATTATAAAAGGAAAATATGCAAGAGTTAACTGCTGTCTGTCCATGACAGTCGCAGCTATGTAGACGCGGGATTTGAATTAGCATATTTACCAAAATAGGTTAGGAATAGTAACCTTCAAACTTAGCTTCGCGAAGCACAGTGTGAACGCGACTCCCTGAATCCTAAACGAGAAAATGCTAGATGGAGGAATCCACCAGGCTTTTTCCGCTTTTCTCTTATTTTCAACCTCTCGAGAGTGCTTTCGGCTCGATGGATTTGAAGCGCCCATATGGCACGAAAATGCGTTCATGGCTACTACGAGATCTATGTTCGGGGCCAACAATATGAAGGCTGGTTCCTCTAGCTACCACAAAGAACAAGTCGTTATGTCTTTACTAAATATATTGTTTAACGCATCTCTTTGAAATTAAAAAGGCTTTTTAACTATATTACACATAAAGTATAGATCTATTTAGAATAGTTGATCTAGTTTGACGTGAAATATAGAATGAAAAGTTATACATGAAATAAAAGGAAAATTGTCTACGTTTTATTTAATCATTTTCTACACCTAAAACTATAACTACTTTTATCTACACCATAGACAATGTTCACATTAATACGATAAGCCTCAGCAGCGATATCGCTGATTATAAAGATATGAAATGTAAAACCGGATCTACAGAGAATGATCCAATGCAAAAGAAGCTACTTCATTGATAAAACACGGCGTTCTGTACCAATAGTTTTGTGATATTCTTTAAAAATTGGAGACTTTCTTTTTATATGAAATTAATATGCTTTGAAAGGCAGAGCGTTATAAGAATCAATCATTTCAAAAAATTCATTCTATAGTAATAAAATTAAAAAATCGCAAATCACTATATGGGTTTATTTGCTAGAGAAAAATCATGAACACTTAAATATTACCTGTCTGTATCAGTGGTCTCAAACAAGCGACGCCCAAAGCCCTGCGAATACATTTCCCGTAAATTAATCAGCATTCTTATGATATTAATTATTGTAACCAGAATCTGAAGAAAGTTTTTATTATTTTAATAACTTGGAGTCCAGTTTTACATCCTTTTCATTACTTTAAACATAAAATTGTGGATAAGCCCCGGAAAATTTAAAACAGAGCTAATTAATTTACACTAATAGAGATCTTATTCTGAGATTTGAACATACAAAATTGATTGACTTTTTTCCTTCCTTGTACTAAGTAAAGGAAGTATTGTAATCGTGAAAATCTTCAGGTATCATATTTCAGAGATATATTTTGAACGTTCTCGAAACTGTTTTGACTGTTATTTTTATGTGATCTGCACGGACGGACAGAATAGACTCTTTTTTCTAAAACGGAATGTAAAATGGATTTTTTTCGTGACGTGTTTACGTACGTACGTATATATATATATATACACTGGTGTGCAAAAATTAAGGACGAGACGGTTTTTCAATATAACTTTGTACAAAAGCTTTCCAAATCAACACATTTAATACCGTAAGTTCCCCAATACGTAAGGACATGAGTAATGTAAGCAACACTTACTAAAAGAGAATTCAGAGGGATAAAAAGAAGCTTTATTGAAAAAGTAGCATGGAGCGCAATGCGACTGAAGGCCGAAACATCCCTGTGATGGGTGTCCAGCAAGAAACATCCGGTCTTTAATAGGGAATATGATCTCCGCTGACTGCTAGGCAGGTTTCACAGCCTCTGCCCCATGCTGAGAATGAGGGTGTCAATGAGTTGTAGAGGCATTGCTGCCCATTCGTCTTGCAGCGCCAATCGAAGCTCCGGAATCGTTACTGGTGGTAAGGTACGAGCTGCCAAGCGTCTGCCTAGAAAATCCCATACATGCTCGATGGGATTGAGATCCGGAGATCGTGCCGGCCAATCCATACGTTCAATATCCTCACTCTCTAAGAGCTGTTCGGCAGCTACTGTGCGATGACATGGTGCATTGTCGTCCATGAAAAGGAACTGTGGACCCATAGCGCCTCTAAAAAGACGCACATATGGAAGAAGAATCTCGTTACAATAACGGGTCCCGTTGACTGAACCTGCGTCGAAGATGTGAAGATCTGTACGACTACCAAGCATGATGCCTCCCCAAACGAGAACACCGCCACCTCCATACCTGTCCCTTTCAATGATGTTCGAGGGATGATTGCGGCTTTCCCGCTCTCTCCAGATGAGTATGCGATGAGAATCGCTACTCAGACTGAATCTGCTCTCATCTGTAAAGAGTACTCGTCCCCATTCATTGTCTCTCCAATTCCGGTGTTCCCGGCACCACAGAGAACGCCTTCTCCGATGGGCAGGCGTTAGAGGTACACACCGTACAGGGCGTCGTGCAAACAAGACCACCACCGTGCAGTTTTCTGGCCACGGTAAAACGCGATCGATATCGGTCGTCCAGTCGCCTGTGTCGTGTGTCTAGCGATTTCTCCCGCTGTCTGCCGTCTATTTCTTCTGGCCTGTAAGGCAATATACCGGTCATCTGCGGGTGTGGTTCCTCGTGGACGACCACTACTAAACCCCCGGATAGCTGTTCCTGTAGTTTGAAATTGTCTCCAAAGTCGTGAAACGATGCTGTGAGCAATTCCGAACTCTGCAGCCACACTTGTCACACTGCGGCCTTCCTCCAACTTCCCAATGATTCGACCTCGGGTAAAAGCATCCAGATGTCGTCTAACAGATTGATTATTCGCCATTTCTCGCTGAGGCAGCAACTCGGTGTGTGATTTTAACTGCTATACGGCGTGCAATCTCTTTGCCAGAAATACTGATCTTACACCGACAACATGCTTTATACTACTCAGACACTCCCCCATTACGTCTACCTGCATATCTGCGCATGTGCTACGGTACATCACCTTACTTGATCTCCTGATTGGTCTTTCTGTCCGCTCTGCCTCTTCCTTCAGCTGATATGCTAATTTTTCGACTTCGTCCTTAATTTTTGCACACCAGTGTATATCGCATAACTCAAAAACAATTAGGCGTAGAACGCTGAAATTTTATATATGGAACTGCTTTAACAGTTGTGCACTTCCCTTTTTTACTGCAATCGGCAATACCAAAAGTGTCTATATATTATACGCACACGCATATATGTAAGAAAAATAAAAAATATATAAAAGATTAAATTAGCAACGTAAATTTCTGTTCTCTATTCTAAAAATAGCAACCTCTATTTGCGCTGCGTCATTTCGAGAAGAATCTATGTCATATGACTCTTACGTAATTCTGGTGATGTAAATTGAACTAAAAATTAAGCAGCCAATAATAATTTTACAGCAATATTAACTATCCAATCAAGATACAGCTCAGTTTGACTTCAGATTTCATCCTCAACGCACTTGCTTTCCACGCTTTGGCCTAGCTAGATTGCTGTCTGTCTGCTGCTGCTTTCTTGAAACAAAGTCATAAAAAATGTAAGCCTTTTGGAACAGGCACATTTAATGTGCCGACTTGTGTGTAGCCGCAACATGTTGCTGAAAATAAAACTGAAGATTTGATCTACCTTCGCCTCCAATTTCCTAGTCATTATGGATCAACACTTCTACGCCATCCAAATTCCTGCTCCTGGTCATTGCTTCTGAGTCTGAATATAGTATTCCATATATGTATGTAATATTTTGGCAATCGGGCACGTGAAGGAAGCTTGGCATAAAATGAGAAGGAAGCTTGGCATAAAATGAGAAGGAAGCTTGGCATAAAATGAGAAGGAAGCTTGGCATAAAATGAGAAGGAAGCTTGGCATGAAATGATGACACGGAAGAAGTTAGCTGTTTTGATTCCACATCTTTATTCAATTCAAATGGCAAATGATTATTCTTTTAGATTCTCGAAGATTACATATGCGATACTAATTTAGACTAAATAGGATTAACTTGAAATTTTCTGCATCATACTATTCAAAGAAAGACAAACGGGAAGAGCGGCAGCAAGGGTCTTATAGCGGCAGGAGAAGAAAAGCAATCTGTTGAAAAATGGCGCGAATTCTACATTTATAGTAGCAATTACATAACATGCCAGAATGTTTTCGAAAGTACTGGTCTAAATACTGGTTTTGATTTAAATACGAATGTCATTTCTTATAATACACTGACAAGGAGTTGATTGTATGTTGCTACAAAAGCGAACACAATTTTTGTATGTTATAAACTACACATGCAATACATAAAGCTGTTTAACATCGACCATCCTCTCCACACAAAATCTTTTATTTAACGCACTGATAAAAGAGAAGCATTGAGTTTGAAAACCATTATAGTAAAGGTATGACAGCCAAGAATGGGATTCGAATAAGCCAAATTTATTGATTGCTGTTAAAAAAGAAAAGTCTAAATAAATGCTCATGATGAAACTTAGATAAAATGTAGCCATTGGCTTATAATTATACAATATATTTTTAATAACGATAAAAATTTCTTGTAACATATTTCCACAGGCCCAAGAGCGGTAAAGTAGCTGAACATTTCTAGTTCGACCCAGGTTCGAAGTCGGCGAAGTGGCTAGTATAAGAACTATCATAGGTTTCTTCCATATGTAACGTAGGTACGAGCCAGTTTCCTTTCAAACGTTTTCCATGGAGGGCATCCTTCCCTTTGGCGTATATCACTTTATCCCTCTCCGTAATTAATATCAAAAAAAAAATATTTCCTTTCAGCTAAAATTGGAAGAGGTAATTAAAAACCTCGCGTACATAAATAGGAAAAATATGTCCATCTTAGGATAAGCTAACTAATAGCCATGTATTTATAGCTGCTGAAATTTTGACCACGTTTTTTTAACCCTTTAACTGTCAAGTTATTTTGATGATTTGGGTACACAAATTGTCAAATTTTTTTTATTGGAAAAATTAAATGTTTAGGACAAAATAAAATATACTTAAGTAGTTAAAAATTGATATTTTGAAGTAC